GTCTTAGTTGAATCCCAGCTGGACGTGTCGTATATTTTTGTTTTCACCTAGGAGCACGGATCTGTGATGGTTCCTACACAAGATGCAAAGATCTCACATAGTCTGTTAGGTCAGATTCTGATCTGCGTGGCATTGGCATAAGCCTGCATTAACTTAAGTGGCTGAATTAATCTGGATTTACACTAATGTAAGAGAGACTGATATCTGACCCACTGTGCTGAGCGAGATCCTTGGCCTGTGGCCAGTGGGTTGTAGGGAAGAATGAAAGACAGTTACCCTGGATTTACATTGGGTTATCCGAGATTAATACAGGCCTTAGTATTTACAGAGCACCTACTGTAACTGCAAAGAAAAAAAACATGGCAAAGCCAACATATTACAAGGCTCCCATGCATCTTTCTTCTTCTAGAAATCTTTTCACTGGGCTATGTAATATAATAGGTTAATGAGCTAAATTGTTGCCTGAGGGACAGAAGCTGCATGTTTAAACTTCCACCCACAAAACTGAAAATGCACCCTTGTGAAAGTCAGCGCTAACGATGGAGCCAGTGTATCTTGCTTGTAATTTTACCTTCCTTGATATAATACCAGTTAAAAGGAGAACAGTCAAAAAAAAATGAAACTGGGAACCTTAAACCATTCTGCACTCTTGGGTTAAATACAGTTCTTCAGTCACAGAATAGAAACAGAGTATGTCAAGGCATAAAAGTAGTGAAACAATTAAATAAAACTGGAAATGAAGAAATTTCCATTAAAATCTTGTGAAGAATTGCTCCTGCTATACAACCTTACCTCTTCAGTTATACCCTAGAAGAGTCCAAAAGCCAACTGAAGAAAAGGAATTAAAAAAATACAGCTTTGGCCTGTACATTTACACCTGAGGGCTTTCCCTGCTATGTTATTCGCAGAGCAGAAGGGGAGAGAGCTGAGGACATGGGGGGAGCCTTAGGTAGCAAAAAAAGCAGTGCCTAGTGCTGCTCACCTTCCAGCACAAGTGATCTGTGTCATCGCCACAGCCAGCCCATACATCTAGCCCTGGAGCGGGCCAGCGGTGCACCCCTCATCAGCTGGGACATGAACGGTACCGACACGGGCCGTGCATCCTGCTAAACTTCCTGGAGAGTCACACACGTAAGGACACATTCTGCTCACTGGCTGCCCGCATTCTTCACAGGAACGTAATCCTTGACATCAAGTTTGTCAGCAAAACACCATTCATCATGAAAGAATGAACTACTGTCTTGCTAATCATCAAGAGGCACATTTGCAGCAGCCTAGGAGTTTGAGGCAAGTGTGGGGAAACTGAGCAACTTACGTTTGTTCTTCTGACTAGGACAATTACAAGAAAAATGTAAAAATGCTTCCAGTGCTAGAACATTTAACAGCTCAGATTTCAAACAAGGAGGAACTGTTTCAAAGTAGAAAGAGGGTATGAGAAGTTTGTTTCTTTAACTGAATGCAAACTGGACGTGGAATTTCCTTTTGGAAGAAACGACTGAATAGGAGATGGCTTGGATTCCCATTTGTATATTGCATCATATAAAAAAAAGGATGATATAATGAATTGCAAATCTGAAGAATTCAGGCAACAATAAAACACTGATTTCAGGTTAACATCTTCAGTGGATCTCTTACTACACAATCTGTTCTTCTACTTCGTTCAAAGACTCTTGGGCCAGGAAAAATTTACTTATGTAACTCATAATACCAATGCTGTGTTTGTGTTAGATGTAAAAAATAATAATTTTACCCCTTTAAGAGAAGGGGCTTGAAAAAGAAATTTCAGCAGTGCAGAGAAGTTGCAAATTTAATAGCAGAGGTAACGGAGATTACACATGGTTACTAAGAACAATATTCTGTCTTTGGAATTACAGTACACAGTTTGTTAATCTTAAGCACTGGACTGACAAAGGTAACTTCAAAGACATTTAAAATGACATTACAGACCTGGCCCTATGTGTTTGCAAAGTGAACTAGATATGTGAGTTCCTCATGCAACGCTTGAAATATGCTGCAAATACATTGGGAGTACACAAATATCACAGCCAAGACTGCTTGCTGAATCTGCTCAATTAGCTCCAAATACTTTCCACAGCTCTAACACACAGTAAAGACCATCTGTGAATAAATCTGACAGAAAATGGAATAAAATTCCTTTTCTTCAATGTGGCAATGGCCAGCAGACAAGGTTTTGGCTGGTAGGTGCAGGTCAAAGATCAGCATGGCCATGCCTCCTCACCTCTTCTATACAGAAGTGGATCTTGGGTCTGAGAACATAAAACCACAGTTTGTCTGGCATAGATTTGGAGAATTTACTGCTTCCCACTCGTGAGCTTTCTGAACGCAACAGGATCCAAGAACTTATATAGGATAACCATATTCATTGCTGTCAGACACGAGGTGACTTATTTATACGGGGCTAGCAGCTCTTCTGTTTTCTCATCTATTCTAAAAATGCTACTGCTGACATAAAAAGAACCGTGCTGTCATTACCACCCAAACAGCGTGTTCTGTTCACACGGTGTATCTGGACTTGACTTTTAAATGAGGCTTTGCCTCTTCCTTACATGACTTCCCGGTATCTTCAAACAATCTTGGTTTGGGAAATTAAAGATTGGAGACCAAGGCACCATGTAAGCTGTTTACACATAAAGCATCAAAGCCCCTTATTTTAATCTGTGATGATTACCACTGTTAGTTAAAACTTGCTTCCCTGATGATTCTTAACAATAAGTAAAAAATGCAGAATGCGTTAATTGCAAAAAGTTGTTGCTTGTTCTGAGATCAATTTGTACTAATAGAAAAGAGTTTCCATCTTAGTCAGCACAAAGCTCTCACACAGTGATTTTTACAGCACCAGGAACAACTGTTTTACCATGGAATTTTGCCCTGGAAGTATGAATGTTAAAGAGTACACTGTAATCTAACTGCTGCAGACTTTATATTTCTCCCTAAAGGAGGAACTGTTCTAAGCTGGACACCACCACCGAGTTGCTGCTGATAGCTGCAAAGGCTCTCGCCCTAAGTCTAAGCCCCACATTAAAGCTTCTGGATCCTCGTGACGAAAATCTTGTGCTCAGGATTTGTGAGGAATCGAACACCACACCAAATATTTCAGCTATCTGGGTTTCTGGGACAAGAATTGTATCTACCCATGCCCCTTTCTAGCAATCCAGTAGTGCCTTCTGTTTACCCCTTTGCTCAGAGAATACAAACCCAATTGTGTGATCTAAGTGTCCAGGCAGAATTAACCAATATGTCTAGAATTTTAAATGCTCCTTATAAACCAAATCCAAGTCCAAGAACATCCTGCTGGGCTCACACAGGGTGAAATTCCTGGGAAGCAGAGAGTTGGCAGAAGCTCCCTGCAGACAGAAGCAGGCCACATATGCAGCACACAAGCTTTTGTGCCCTTCTGCAGAGGGAGGATCCTGATCCCGAGTTAAGAATTGCAAATAACGAGTGATTTTGCACTGATCCTGTCCTGCTCACATGCAGACAATAAATCCATCACCAACACTATTTACTGTGACCAATGTATGATTGCAGCCTTTCTAGCACTGAGCCAACATCTTTATCTGATTGGAACCATTCATACAATAATGAACTTTCAGTCCATGTAATCAGTGAATATACAATTATATCATATTCTTCCCTGTAAAGAGAATCAGGGTCAATTTGCATGCCAAAATGTTTTCAAATTCCACAAATAAATAAATAATGTTATTTCACCTGTTAACACACAGGAACTGTTTGTTTTGGCCAGCTTGCACGGACTCTTGTGTGCCAGGTTATGAATAAAATAATGTTCAATACTCTAAACATTCTGTGATACAAACTCCTGGCTCAGCATAAATACAGACCTTTTGTATACGGCAGGTTCTTAATGCATTTTCCAGCACTGACACCATTAAATTCATGTATCTATGACAGAGTATATAACCACAATGTTAAAAAAAAAAAAAAAAAGGAATTGCAGATAAGCCAATTTGCCCATCACGGGCCTCTGTTTCACTGCATGTTGCTTGCTGGGAGTTTGGGTTTTTGGAAAGCCAAATGCAACTACTGTATCCCAGTGGTTTCTATACATGCCGTACATTCCAGAACACAAAGTAGTTTTCTGTTTAAAGAACAGTACATTTACAAAGATAAGGTAAACCCAAAGCAGAATATAATACTCCTGGGAAATTCTAGTTCTTTGTGCAAACATGAAGTCAGCAATGTAAAGGATGCTTTATGAACAATTCTGGCAAAGGCTGAGTTTCTCACACTGCCAGGCCTCCTCCTCCAGCAAAACCACCCATCACTTCAAGATGAGAATGTGAATACAGAGCAGACTGCTCTGGTTTAATCCCCTGCATTTGGGAATTAATTCCACTGATGTCACTGGAGACACTAATTTCAGACAGGCCTGAGTGAAGGTAAAATCCGGCCTGAGGAAGGGATTGATGGTTTTGGTTCTGGCTTTAAATTCATGGCTTGCTTTCATTTCAGGTGATTGGTTTAAGTTTAGGACTGGACTATGCTGTGTAGGTCCCAGACTAACATGAAATTCTGCTGCACAGCCCTAGTCTTGCATCAGTGCTAATAAATTAGTGTATTCTCTGATTCTGCAGACAGGACCTGCACGAGAGTTTGCTTTTTGAAATACGGAAAGCAGGCAACGTTTATCAAGAAGCTTTTTGAAAACATGAGCCCACCTGTGATGGGAAGTTGGCCTTTGGATGGTTAAGCTTTCAGTTAATACTCATTTCTATCCTATTTGGAATACGCTTCTTTAAAACTTACTGGGTCATTTCCCTAAGCCTGTCTTGCAACATTTGGTTATAAATGGCAGAAGGGGAAAGTTTAAAACCCAGCAAAACCTCCAGTTAAAAGCAGTTAAATCCTTCCTTTCCAAATAATTAAACTGTATGTTAATGCACAGAGCACACAGAAGCACAGCACCCTGAACATCCTTGCAATTAGAAAAAAAAATGCCACGTAGCATTCACTGTTACCTTAGACCAATCTCCTGTTTTCCATTCGTAACAGCCTGTGTGATCCTCACACTCTTCCTCGTCTCTTGGCCTGGTGGCTGCGTCACATTTTCCTTGAGAATTCGTGCATGTCACTGTTCTTTTCTGAATCCCCTTGCCACAGTCTGCCGAGCACTGCAAAACAAGAAGTATTTGCTTTCTATTACATGATGCCTAGGCGTGATAACTTCTATCTTGGTAACATAGCTAAAAGGAAAACTAGTTTCATGAACATAGAGGAAAACTGATAACCCATAAGATTTTCTCCCAATAATCTAAGTAAGTCCCTTTCAAAGACAAAAGTGTAATTCGAAAAGCATCATACCTGCCTGTGAAATACAGCAATTCACCTGCCTGTGAAAAATAGCAATTCTGAAAATCAGCCTTCTCTGAAAACTATCAGTTGGCATTTTGCTAGAATTGTTGTCACAGATGAAAAAATCCTTAAAACTTGTGTTCAAGAGTCATCACTCACACTGGAAAAGGACATGCTGAGATTTACAACACAGAATTGCCACATCCCTTGATGTATCATAGGAGTAAAATGATGGTGATAAATGCATTTTTTAACCACAGTATCACGAGACCACTGTTCCAAATGCATTTCTGCGGCATGGTTTGTACATATCATGGCAAAGTCATAGTGCTTACATGTTCTCATGTGAAACGCGTACATGACGAGCCATACGCTCATCACCGTGTTAGTTCCAAAGAACTTCAAATGCAGAAAGGGAATAGCTCAGGGGAGGCTCTGTTCAGCGCGCTACGGCGCTGTGATCAGCTCCCAGGCAGGGCCAGCAAGTCAGCCACAGACATCAGCAGGGATGAAGGACAGACTTCTCAACACCAAAAGCATAAGCAAGGACTGTCTGAAGCCCTCTGAGAAAGCAGCAGCCTGCTAGAGCTGCTAGAGTCAGTTGCCGAAGCAAGACTCAATTCAAATATTTGGGCACCTGAACATCAACATTCATGTGAGTGAGTGCAAATTATCCACAAATGTGTTCATGCTTGGGCCCCACAAAGGCAGCTTCTAAAGAGCAGGGGTACCTGGGTCACCCATTTGTTACCTCTGCCAACGCTTGGCTGCAAATTCTGTTTTACTGGAGAATTTATCTTGATCTCATGGACTGTACTATCTGAGGAAAGGACACTGGCATAAACTGAAACAGATTTTCTGTTTTAAATAACCCGTTTGGTAACAGAGTAACAGATGTGCTGATGCTGTCCCAGCCACCCAACTGCATGCCACGACCCAGCAGCAGGGCTAGGATCTCTGTTCTTCATCGGCTTGCACTGCAGTGGTTAGGGGCGAGACATTTTCTTGAAGAGCCACTGGAGACAGGTGGGTGGAAAAATGATGTATGTACCAGCTGAGATAAAAACTAACCTCCTTTAGCATGTCAAGTTCTCCCCTTCAGGGGATCAGCACAGAAAAGACAGTTGATTTGACACTGAATAAATAGCGAAGATATGAGATATTCTGTGAGGTCTTTTGAACGTATTCCAAGAAGCTTCTCCATCCAGGGGGTCTGTGCTGGAAACAAGCGTCAGCTTGATATAAATTACATCAAATGGACAAATCTCAGCATGCCTGTCTAACCGTCTTAAAAATACAATCCAGGCAGTTCTGACCTGCTGGCCTTGTTAAGGACATGAATGACAAGCGTTTATGAGCTGGCAAGCAAACAGACATGCCTTTAAATACTTCAGAGCACTACAAAGTGACTTCTTGAAAATCTGGGAAACCTTCCACTTCATTTACTATGTGCTGCTCATGGCATGACCTCCTTACGGATGTAACATCTTTGTAACGAGCACCATTGTAGAGTTCTGCGAGATTCGGGGATGGGATGAATCTTTCCAGGCTTTGTAGAATTTCAGAAACTGCTTTGCTAGACTCCTCGGAGCGCAACACTTGCCAGAGATTCCAGGCTGGAGCTCCCCAAATGGTACCTTCAAGCCATGAATTTGCCCCAAGTTGTATAGACTTTCCCAAATTATGTATCATTTTCCTCAGTCCTCAGGGTGGACTCCTCAGGTTCGCACTGGTTCGTCTCAAACTACAAAGCAGAATGTATAAAATCTCTCAAATGGTCCAATTTACTCGAAGTAAATCAAACTGAAGTGGGAGTATTTTTCACAGTAGGAGAAATCTCTAGGTGGGTTTTACAAGCGAGTCTGGGAAAAACACCAACTGTTTGTTCTTCCCACAAGCTTTTAAGTCATTCACAGATTAATACTGCATATACTTTCCTAGACAAAACAGCATTTGCAAAAGGTTTCCAGCAGATCTTTGGTGGTCACATATAAATCACCCTCCTTAAGAGATTTTTCTTTCTTCAAGTCCTTTATTTTCATGAAGAATTTCTTAACATACAGATTTTGTAGAGATTCCACAACAGAGCAGTCTACAAATTAACATCCACAGTCCCTGAGCATCCAGCTGAGATCATTAGGTCTTATTTTATTAACAAATTACTTAGCCAAATCTCATGAGGCTTTGTAAAGGAGCAACACAAGTTTGCAGTTAAGACACAGCTCCTTTATTTGAAGAAAATCCATATTTTTTCTACTCTAGTTCCCTAACAGTAGAAACATTCACCTTTTTCTGAAAGTCTCTATTTTTGTCATTAAAAATCTGTTGAGCGATACTTTATCCAAAACAATCTCAAGTGCTTGGCAATAAAAGGGGAACTTATTTTTTTCCACAATGAGGATTGCATTGGAATTTGCTTTGAAAACATATTTTTTTTTATTGGAGACCAGACACCAATGTGGTTGACTGTTTTTTGTTGTGTAACCGAAAAGTTCCAAAACATACATGAGAAAATTGATTTATTAAATGATACCACTGCTGTGATATTTACTTCACAACATCAGATTAAAATGTTAAGGATTAAAGTGATTACCGCTGAAGAAAGTCCTAGTCATGAGAAGTGTGCAAACTGGCAGAGCATCAAATGTGTCCTGGAGTCAACTGTGCTACATAATAGTAGAAAAGCGCCAGAAGACTTTAAAATCACAAGCAGGCAATTACAGACACAACAGAAAGTAAATAAATTTATCAAAGGAAAAGTAAACCAGTTGTTAAACAAAAAAATCTTACAATATTACATGTTTGCAAATGAGCTACATGGTCAAACAATATGGAAGATTTCCACTCTGGAAAGTCTCCTGTAACCTGACTTACTCCATTTCATAAAAAAGAGAGGCAAGTACCTGGGACAGTTAACAAAAGACCCAAATAAAAGTCCCCCAGGTAAACTAGGCAGGAACTCCACCATACGAATAGTCTCAGCTATAAGAAAGAGGGCATCACCTGAAAGGGATACTTCTGCAACACACAAAAGACCTATCACATAACTTGCTGAAACTTTGGCGTGTTTCTCCACACCTTTTGAAATGAAAGAGCTCAGAAAGAAAACGAATCTCACGTGTTAGTGAACAGATACAGCATCTTCCTGAAAGGAAACACTACTCGCACTTAATTATTGTCTCACTTGCCAAACAGAGATTTCCTGTTTGAAAGATGGGCAATGAAATCACACTGTGTTTGTTAAAAAAAACCCCATTCCTCGGTGCAAGACCTCTTGTATGCTGAGCTTCTGTCACTTCTAAGCACATTTCTAACACTAATATTTTGCAAAAACTCTTTGACGATGTTTCAGACAAGAGCTCACTGCTTCAAAATAGAGATGAATGACAAGGAAAGATTCTTCCCACAGAAATGACTGTTGCTGGACAGTCAGAGAACACAGTCAGTCTGGAATGAGGCTGGAATTGCTGTGAGCACTGCGCCAAGAGTCAAAGGATCTTCTCATCATTCAGATGACCCTAACATACAATATCAGAACCAGCATGGACATCCCACTAGCACTGTTCCTCACAAAGTTGCTCTCTATACTCCCAGTTCACTGTTACTGAACAAAACGCAGGCTCTACAGACCACCCATAATTTGTATCTGAAATGCATTTATAATATCTGAGAATAACTTCTTAACTCTGCAACTACATGGAGATGCACCTTTCAGACAAAGCATAATCAGCTTTTTCACGTTCCTGGAATTACACAGAAGAAGGCTGGGTAAGGGCCAAAGATTGTACATTTTCGGTAACATGCAGATGCTTGATAAATCTGGTATTTGTTTCACACCACATTTAAATGGAGCCAGAAGCCCTGGTGGGTTATCACACTTCTAGCCTCAGGTCACTGAAATGTTTTTCCTTGCTGGTCAGAGTTTTCAGATCGAAAGATATAGTTACTGTAGCATGATACCTAAAGCCTCTCTTAATAACTTATTCAGTATGGAATACAAACCTCAGCTCCAACCTGATTGTCTCCACGACTGACAGTCCTACCCAGTGCCCCAATGCTGTGAGGCACCGAGCATGCTGACTGTGAGAACACGCTTCATTTCAAGCACCTCGCTGGATTACGAGCAGCGTATGCAGACCTACGCGCAGTTCAGCTCCTTTCTTGAATCAAGTTCCTACCTTTGACCACTCTGATGCTTCCCAGATGGAAAGGCAGTCCCGTCCTTCACAGCTTTGTACCGTTGTCGGTTTGTTGCCAAGGCAGTAGAGGTCTCTCGTGTTAACGTAGGTGCCGTTTTGCAACTGATAAACACAAGTCACTTCCCGGTGCTGGACACCTTTCTCACAAGTAGCAGAGCAGGGACTCCATTGGCCGGTCACCCACCTGGGAAGGAGTCAGAGAGGGAATATTAAAAAACTGCTTCACTTAAAAACAGTGAGAAAGGGGCAACTCTTCCTAGATCTGTGGGTTCTTCAGTAGCGCTGTATTGCCATCAAACTGAGATCACCTGATCACCTTCGGCAGCTGAAGTGTGTAAAGCAGGAAAGTGCCAGCGTATGAGTGAATGTCCGCTCCTGTCCCCATGCTAGACAGCCACGCAGACCCAGCACAGTCTCTACAAAGTGGCTGCATTTTTACCTCCAGATAAAGACGGACTTGTCTGCAAGACCATCCTATCCCACAGATATTGTTGCCTTTGAGAAATACCTGGGAAAACCACTGCTACATCTGCCTGCATGTCTTCCCTGTGAACCTGTACTTACTGGGTACAAACCGGGATGGTGCTACGGTCAGACACTCAGCCCAGTATGGCTTTCCCACATCCAGGACCAGAGTCAGCTTCTCTGGCTCTACACTCCATGACCTCAAAGCGTGTAAACCCTCTACCTCCCAGAATATTAAAATGCAGAGACATCTCCTGCCTCACCTTTTAGTTCACCTTCTCACAGCCACTGGTGAGATTTCACTTCTCACATTGGGCCTTCCAAGATTTTTAACTGGAATCTCATCTGCTTGAAGTTCATGGCATTAGGGGCCTCAAAAATGGAGAATAACCAGCCATATTCATTCTTAGAAAATCCAAATAGCATTTAACTGCCAAGGCTCAAGAAGGACTTAAAAAGACAAGATTTTCCCCATAGAAAGGACCCTATGATGTTGCTTCAAAGCCAGAACCCTACTGGGGAGGGCGTGGAATGGGTATTTCCTTATACCCATTATTTCTTTGAGCCTTTGGGATTCATTTGCTTTGTAAGCACATTTCAGATGCCATTTTCTTTCCCTTTGATCAAAGCGTGCTGGGAATAAATACACTGCAGGTTTTTTTGTTGTTTGGCTTGTTATAGCTTTAAAGGCTCTTTAGCAAACACCCAGCACAATATTGTAAGGTGTTTGGGTTCCACCAAAGGAAGGAACACGCTGCTCCTGAAAGTAGTCTCTGGATGTGGGCATGCAAGGGAAATGAGGCAACCTCACCCCGCTGCCTTCCGGCTCAGCGTAAGGCCAACTGGAAGGCTCCAGCAAGTGCTGGAAGCAGCACTGTGGTTGCAGCTGGGCTATGAGGCAGCGAAGAAAATGACTCGGAAGAATCTGAATTAGGAGGTGTGTAGGGAGGAGCCACTTTTTTTTCCCAAAGACAAACAGCATCAATCTTTACGCTTCCTGCAATCTGTCAGTGAGGAACATGCTCTCTGTAATTACGGGCATTCCT